GGCAGCTTTCCTATGCACCCTGCGGTGGTAAATGCTCTGCAGAGAGGACAGTGGAGTCCTAGTTATCTTCTTCGCGGTCTTTACCACTCTCTGCGGGCGCTTGCGGTCCATAGCAGTAGTGCTGCCATACCAGACAGTGATGCAGCTGGTCAAGATGCTCTTGACGATGCAGCTGTAGAAGTTGCAAAGGATCCTAGGCGACATGCCAAACCTCCTCAGCCTCCTCAGGAAGTACAGCCGCCGTTGGACCTTCTTGACCAGCTGTGTGGTGTTAAGCGTCCGAGTGAGGTCCTCACTGATGTGGACGCCCAGGTGAAGCTGCTCGCCCTCTCCACTTTGAGCCCCCAGATGAACAGTGGCTGATGAGATCTCCTCTCCTTCCTCATGTCCACTATCATCTCCTTCATCTTGTCCGCGTTGAGGCTGAAAATATTGTCCTTGCACCGTGACACCAGACCGGCCACCTCACTCCTGTTTAATCAGTTGACCACTAATTTTACATTGTTGTACTTGTACTGGGACTGAATACTCCCTTTTGGTTGCAGTAAAGACATCATGGAGCCCCCAGACACCAGATTCGCTCACCTGCTGCAGCCCATTCGAGACCTCACGAAGAACTGGGAGGTCGACGTGGCTTCAGAGTTAAATGATTACTTAGAAGAGGTACAAAACATTAACCAACAGCTGAGTTTTTATTTATTTTACTGTTTATTTTGTGTACATTGCCCCTCAGGATTTGTGGAAATTAAATTACACACATTGGGATAAAGCAAACTCCAAGGCCAGATAAATGTGGAAAAAGAAAATAATAAACTAAACATTTAAACAAGACAGTAAAGATGAATACATTTATAAGATTCACAGTATGTTAGTTGAATTATGATTCATCATAAACATTACTCTTTTTTGGCTTCATTTCTAAGGCCAGTGCATGCTAGTAGAGCTGCAACAGTTCCTTGACTAATCAAATATGCATTTGCCAGAAAATTAATCTGAAACTATTCTAATTATGAAACTGCTATTTTTGGCTTTTTTAAGGAAAACATTCTCATTTCAGCTTCTCAGATGTGAGAAGCTGATTCTGATTCTGTTTGGGTTTGGGCTGTTGGTTGGACCAAACAGGACATTAGAAGATGTCACCTCAGGCTTTTCTGACATTTTATAGATCAAATGAAATCTGAAAAATAACTGAGTTACCATGTCAGAAGATCACTGGTTTACAAAGTGTGTTTGTTCTTATTTTTAAAAGAATATCCATTGAAAAATTGTCAAGTCAGTTTGAAGCTAACTTGTACTTTGGAGGCCTGGCTCTGGGATAACTTGACACGTTTCTCTGGATGTCACAGTTGGAGAAGATGACCATCACTTTCGATGACGGGAAAACCAGACTTAACTTTGCGGAAGCAGCGTTGGTGATTCAGGGCTCAGCCTGCATATACAGCAAGAAAGTAGGAAGTCAAGAGAATAAAACACAAGTGTGGAGTGTCAGTGAGGGAAAAGCTCATGTGTTTATGTGTTTCAGGTGGAGCTCCTGCACAGCCTGGTCTATCAAACTCTTGAGTGCATCAGTGACAGAAACAAGAAGTAAGTCTGTTCTTATCAAAAACATCTGCAGTGCTTTACAGTAAAATGACAATTAACAGTCAGTTTTTACTGAAGTGTTGCAAATGTTGTTCTCTTCACTTTATACATGCTCCCTTTAGGCAATATTATCAGGAGGCACAACATAAATTTCCATTGATATGCAGATGATACTCAGTTATATTTATCTGTGAAGCCAAATGAATCAGATCAGCTGGTCAAACTTCAAGCATGTTTTAAAGACATAAAAGCCTGGATGGCCTGTAACTTCTTACTTCTAAACTCTGACAAAACTGAAGTTATTGTGCTTGGGCCTGAAAACCTTAGAAATCTGCTGTGTAATCATATAGTTACTTTAGATGACATAGCTCTCGCCTCCAGTACTACTGTGAGGAACCTTGGAGTCATCTTTGATCAGGATATGTCCTTTAAATCACACATAAACCAA